GCAGGCCAAGCAGCATCATAGGAGCAGAGAGGCTGACGTTTCGGGCCTAGGGTGACTCCCTTGTCCGCTCCACGCTCCCCTCCAGCTCCACCACACCTGGCACTTTTCCCTGCAACCGCAGGAAGTGCTACACCTGCCCCCATACCTCCTCCCTCACCCCCATCCCAGGCCCCAAGAAGACTTTCCACATCAAGCAGATGTTCACCTACACATCTGCCAATGTGGTATACTGCATCCGCTGTACCCGGTGTGGCTTCCTCTACATCGGGGAAACCAAGCGGAGACTCGGGGACCGCTTTGCAGAACACCTACGCTCGGTTCGCAACAAACAACTGCACCTCCCAGTCGCGAACCATTTCAACTCCCCCTCCCATTCCTCAGATGACGTGTCCATCCTGGGCCTCCTGCAGTGCCACAACGATGCCACCCGAAGGTTGCAGGAACAGCAACTCATATTCCGCTTGGGAACCCTGCAGCCCAATGGTATCAATGTGGATTTCACAAGTTTCAAAATCTCCCCTCCCCCCACCACATCCCAAAACCAGTCCAGCTTGTCCCTGCCTCCCTAACCTGTTCTTCCTCCCACCTATCCCCTCCTCCCACCTCAAGCCGCACCTCCATCTCCTACCGACTAACCTCATCCCGCCCCCTTGACCTGTCCGTCCTCCCTGGACTGACCTATCCCCTTCCTAACTCGCTACCTACACTCACCTTTACTGGCTCCATCCCCGCCTCTTCGACCTGTTTGTTTCCTCTCCACCTATCCTCTCCTCTATCCCTCTTCTATCCGCCTCCCACTCTCTCCCTATTTATTTCAAAACCCCCTTCCCCTCCCCCTTTTCTGATGAAGGGTCTAGGCCCGAAACGTCAGCCTCTCTGCTCCTATGATGCTGCTTGGCCTGCTGTGTTCATCCAGCCCTGCACCTTGTTGCCATTAAAGTATGTCTGGGTGACTTTTTTTATGATTACTTGAGTTTACATAGCTCATTTATATTTCTCCATTCAGAGTTCATTTTGCACTTTACCCCAAAGCCAGTCTTTAGTAATTCCTTTTGAGTTGAGGTTTTACATTTCTTTTTTTCTTTCATCAGGAGGACAGTATTGCTAGCTGGCTAGGCAATATTCTTGTGGATAACACATTACCTGGTGATCATGGACAATCGTGCATTTCTGAAACTCAGCAAGATCAGTCAGCTTCTGATCAATCGCAGGAACATAATCAGTCTCCAGAAGAGGGTTCTGGCAGCATGTTTCTGATTGTAGATTCTGGGACAATATTTTCTCCGCAGTCAGCCCCTGAATTCTCTGAGCCTCTGGAGCCAATCAAACGTGTAAGTTCCCAACACACTGTGAAAGCAGCCATGCTCAAACTATTTTGAAAGATTCTTCAAGAATGTTTTGAGTCAGTGCCAAGCTCTGTTCATTTGTATAGTAATTACCTAATGTTCAAGTGCCATGCTGGATCTTGGTTGATTTTGATAGATGCTGTGAATTGTTACAGTGGTATAATGATCTCTGTCTTGTATTTTTAACTCTTGACTTCATTACGTTAATGTTCTTGCGCTACATCCACCTCAGCCGCAACATCCAGTGAATACTGCTCACTGGAACCTTGTGTCTTCAAAGGCTTGTGTGTAAAGCCCATTCTGTTAATACAATATATACAATACAATGTAGAACAGGAACAAGCCTGTGCTGATTCTAGTCCTTTTTTAGACCTGCCACTTATTGCCCACGCATGGTTTCTATCTCTGTTTACCTCCCATTCATGTGTCAATCAAGATACGCCTTTAAATGTTGCTAACATGGCTGCTTCCCCGCCTCCACTAGAAATGTGTTCAAGGCACCCACCACCTTCTGTGAAAAACTCTGCACGTCTCCCCTAAACTTGCCCCTGTCACGTTGAACCTGTGCCCTCTTGTAGTTGACCTTTCCGTGCTGGGAAAAAACCTCTGACTATCCATTTAATCTATGCCTCTCATAATTTTGTAGGCCTCTCATAACTTTATAGGCCTCTATCAGGTCGCCCCTCAGCCTCTGTCTTTCCAATGAAAACTGAGTTTATCCAACCTCCTCATAACTAAAACCCTCCAGATCAGGCGACATCCTGGTAAATCTTCTCTGCACCCTCTCCCAAGCATTTATGTATTTCTACTAGTGTGGTGACCAGAACTGCGCACAATAGTCCTGGATATGGCCTAACTAAAGTTTAGTACAGCAGTAACATAACGTAACTTGCCACCCTTTTATATTTGATTGTCTGGCTGATGAAGGCAAGTGTGCTATATGCCTTGTTGACCGCCTTATCCACCGATTGTTGCCACTTTCAGGGATCTCTGGATCTGTATGCCCAGATATCTCCATGTCAATGCTCCTAAGTGTTCTCCCGTTTATTGTATAATTTGAAAACAAAGGTGAAGCTGATTTGAGACACAGCAAATATGGCTTATCTGAGGTACTGGAGTTAAAAGCAGGACCCAGAAAATTCAATTTATTCAGCCAGGGAGGATGGGCAAACTTCCTCTAGCAAATCTTTTTTCAATTTATTTTAGAAAGAGGGTGGGGTGGTATTACGCTTAACCATATTCTGCCATGTATGCAAATTTTTCTTTCTCTGTTAGAGGGTATGGGATACTTCACTTTGCAATTTAGTTAATGATTGAGTATGGTCCTATCAGATCTTGCCTTGGCTCCAGTAGGAGGCAAAAGTCAATTGAGTGGAAATAGTATTGATTTTCATCTCTTTTGTTGTTGCTGAAACATGTTAGGGGGTAATAGTCAATCTTCAGTCTCCTTCCTTCCTGCCCTGGGGCTCCAAAAATCTTTTCTTTTGGTTGGGATGAGTTAGAAGGTGATGATTGTTAAGATAACAACATAACGTTACCATACATCAAGGAAGAAGTAAATAAGCATTCCAGGGACCGCACAGGTTTTTCAGCAGGGTTCAGCCAAATATTTGCAGAGCACCTTCACGTGTGTTGCATTAAGTGTGGTGACAGTTAGCATGGTGGCTTGACGTCTGAGATTTGGGGCCACCTGGGTCTGACAGTTATCTGAGCAACTGGTGAGGACATGCATTTATAGATCTTGGCTTGCTCCACATGAGTTAAAATTTTAAATATACTGCATTATTCTTTAGTATTAAATTTAGTTTTGTTTTTTGAGTTCCAGATATTAATGCTAACTTGACTTTAAGAATTTTATGCACTTTTAAAATATTCTTATTCTTATTTCACAGAATATTTTTGTCTAAAGCAGAAGTTTGAGCCTATTAATTTCAAAAACAAAATAGTTAAATTTATCTGTCCTCTAAAAACCCAACAGCCTAAGACTTTATCCAGATTTGCCAAAATAGTTTATCTTGGGAAAATCATTTGACGGTTATGCCATTCTAGTAGTGTGTTATTTAATGTCTAGTGACTTAAGGTGGTCAAGACGTTGTATTAACTGATCAGAGAAAAAATACAAAAACATTTTGTTTTTATTCATTCTTAATGTCTGTTGTGGACAGACAAAAGTTGAATTACTTTTGGACATGTGTCATGAAGCAGTGATACAGAAAAGATGCTGAAAGAAATCGTAGAGGAAAAATTGTGTTGGTAAACAAAAGACCAGATGGGCTGATAACACGGAACAAATGGGCATGAGTTTCAAGGACACTGAACAACCCCAAGATCAATGCAACTGAAAGAGGAGAGTGCATGTTGCCACAGCAATTCTGCCTCCCTGATTTATCTGTATTACGTAAAATAATACATGTATACTGTTGAATGAGTGTTTTCCCATTTGGGAGTGTTCTTTGTTCATGTTGTCCAATGAGTCAAATATTGTCCAATTTCCATTTAAGATACCTTTTGATTTAGACACTAAATATTTTGTCATGCTTTTAAATGTTGAAACATCAGTGATATTTATAGTATTAATGAAACAGATTTATGTAGTGTAACAGATATTTGCAGCATGAAATATCTTCTCCATTTGTCATTGGGTGCAAACCTACCTGATTGTACTGATTTGTCTCCCCCATATCTCTGAGAGACTATAGAGTCACTTTTTTTGGTCACCTTTCTCTCAAATGTTCACTTGGAGGTTTTGATGTATAGTACTGGCTTTTCACTTCAGCTCTTAACTCCTGATGGCCTGAATGGTTGCCTCCAATATGTAATTCTATTAACGTTCAAGTTCTGATATTAATGAATGGGTGAATGGATGATAATCTAAGCGTACTGCAGGTAATCTCTTGCTTTTGTACTGAAATGCTTATTGTCTTGATTTTATTGTCTACTTTCCATACCTAAGGATCCAGATACGTGGTCTGATCTATCTTGCTTTGATTTACCGGAGGATCTTATCAAACAGACTCCTGATAAGACGTCACAGCAGAGTTTGACGGAATATCGCATTGATGCCAATACCATCTCCGACCTAAGCAAGAGTGCTAAGAAGGGTGAACTCATACCCATGATCACCTCTCCAATTGCAGGAAGCTTCAGTACACCACCAACGATCCTGAGGCGCAAGAAGAAAACAAAAATTACACTTTCACCTGTCAATGATAGCTATGGGAATAGCTTTGCTATTTTTGAAAGCAGTACCAGCAGCAGCATGACTCCAAAAAGTACTCCAGTGAAGACATTGCCTTTCTCACCATCACAGGTAATGAAGTAAAACTGAGCAATTCTCTTAAAAACTGAAAGAACTGCGGATGCTGTAAATCAGGAACAAAAACAGAAGTTTCTGGAAAAGCTCAGCAGATCTGACCGCATCTGTGAAGAAAAAAACCGGAATTAACGTTTTGGGTCCTGTTTCGGGTTCAGTTCTGAGGAAGGGTCACAGGATCTGAAATGTTAATTCTGATTTTTTCTTTTCTTCAAAGATGCTGTCAGATCTGCTGAGCTTTTTCAGCAACTTCTGTTTTCGTTCCTGAGCAATTCTTTTTCTGCCCTCCAGCTGACTTGT